GTTGACTTAAGAACCTTGCTTTGTTTTCATTATAATAAAACAATGACCAGGGTGGTGATACAATGACTACTGCAATCGACAGAAGATAATACCACCAAGGCAACTTATCTGTAAACAAACAATAAATGTCCATAAAAATGACAAAAGTAGTTTCTTTCCTAAATAGGTTTTATATTAAACAATTGCAAATGCTGTAAATAAAGAGTCCACTTGTGATATACCAGTGGTTGAGCGCTCGGACGTCATTCCGGTAATCAGACGTTTTGTCGCTAAAGAGTTTAGTCATCAGCCTCCTTTAGGTTTAACAAACTGAAAGACACCGTCCCCTTTTTCTGTGCTCCTCCCAATGGAAACATGCAGATGGGGACAGATATATCTCTGCTTTAAGTCATTTATATACTGTCTTCTCTTGTGTATTATTTACTACAAAGCTTGATGACTAAGCTCTTTAGCAAACAAAACGTCTGAGTCATGTCCAAGAGCTGAACCACTGTTATATCAGAAGTGGACTCTTCATTACTGCGTTCGCAATTGTTCAAAATAACATTCTATTTTGGAAAGAGAAGAAATGAGCACCGAACCAGTGATATATTTACAAGTGAACTCTTTCTTTACTGTGTCTGCTGTTGTTTAAGATAAAACCTATTCGGGAAAGAAACTACTTTTGCCATTTTTATGGATGTTTATTGTTTGTTTACAGATAGTTGTCTTGGTGATATTATCTTGTTTTCATTATGGCTTGGTGTTACATGTGAATCCAGCACCTTTCCATGCTCATGGTTTGTATGACACCTGACTACAAAGGTGTTATACCAAGAGCCACGGGAAAACAAACCAGACTTCGGAGAAACAAGCCATAGCTTGTTGGATCATCTATGGCACAACTTGAGGCTAGCCCATGGTTTGTTAAACAAACCATGCCTTAAACAAACCATTGGTGTGAACCAGGCCACTCTAATGAAGGGTAAAAGGTAAAGGTACCCCTGCCCGTACGGGCCAGTCTTGACAGACTCTAGGGTTGTGCGCCCATCTCACTCAAGAGGCCGGGGGCCAGTGCTGTCCGGAGACACTTCCGGGTCACGTGGCCAGCGTGACATCGCTGCTCTGGCGAGCCAGAGCCGCACACGGAAACGCCGTTTACCTTCCCGCCAGTAAGCGGTCCCTATTTATCTACTTGCACCCGGGGGTGCTTTCGAACTGCTAGTTGGCAGGCGCTGGGACCGAGCAACGGGAGCGCACCCCGCCGCGGGATTCGAACCGCCGACCTTTCAATCGGCAAGCCCTAGGCGCTGAGGCTTTTACCCACAGCGCCACCCGCGTCCCTCTAATGAAGGGAGGCTCCCTTAAAACATTAAATCCCTTAAAAACCATTACAGAATTACCTAACTGCACCGATGACCTTATCCATTTTCACTGTAATTGGGCATTGTTCTATTGATTCCCAAGGGAGGCAAAGCACTCTATTATCCAGATTATGATCCCAAGGCTAGAAGCATGTTTTATTACACAAGCAAACTCCAACTGGGAAGCAAGCCTTAATGATGAAGCATCATTAACTATGAGAACTTTACAGTTGTGGAGTGTGCATGTGAAGATATAGCTGAGCTGTTACATACTAAATCTAAAGAGAGGTTTAGCTTTAGCCGTGACACTTGCTCTCTGTGAAAACACATATTGATTAAAATATGATAACAAAATGAAATTGTTCGATGGAGCCAGATTTGGGCCACAGGCCACCAGTTTGCCATCCCTTGACCTAGGATGAAGCGCTGTATCTATTGGCCAAAGATGTTGAAGGCTTCTCCTGCTTCACTTCTAGGTGTCCACGTCTTTGGCCTTTGTGCCACAGCTCTCATCACTGACATCATACAGCTGTCAACTGGTATCAAACGCCATATTTCCTGACTGTATGCAAGCCTAACTATACATCACTCAACGTATCCTGCTCAGAAAATTCTTACATCGTGAGGATATTTGCTCAGGAACTATCCCATCATCATCAACGATGGAAGGTTAGACACAGAAAGATGGGGGAAGGGGGGAAATGGTCTTCATTGTTTATTATGTCTTGGTTTGGGGGGGGTAGCTCAGTGGTAGAACATATGTCTTGCATGCAGAAGGTCCCAAATTCAATCCCCGGCATTTCCAGGAGGGCTGCGAGATATCCACGCCTGAAACTCTGGAGAGCCAGTGTAGGTAAACAATCCTGAGCTAGATGGATTAATGGTCTGGATCAGTTTAAGGCCACTTACTAAATCCCAGTCAAAAATGTGCTGCCATCTATTTTCATCCATAACTGTGGACCAAAATCTGCTGATAATATCTGCAAGCTTTTCTAAGACTTGGGCATGCATACATGCATTTCATTCTCATGATTTAGATATATCATGCCCAACTCCATTATGCATTAAATATAGCCAAGAAGCAGCATTCAAGGGGGGAGGAGCAAGATGAAGGGGCAGAGCTCTGCAGATAAGATCAGACTTCGTTTTCATTGACTCATGAAGCCATATGGCACAAATGGCAAGATGGCAGCTAGCATCACATTGGACCAAGAAACGAGATATGGCTACTTCGTTATTTCCTCACGATCCAGAGCTGCCAGTGGTTGCACACATTGTAGTTATTTGAGAGAGTCGTGCATCTGGGATTTGCACAAGGAGATGTGGCACCTACTCCTGCATTGTTTATTAGAACTTCAAGGGGACGATGGCTACATAAAAGCATAATGACTAATAATAATATAATAATAATAATAATTTATTTACATCCTGCCTCCCCAGCCAAAGCCAGGCTCAGAGCGGCTAATAACAGTAAAAATAGCACAGTTTACATAAAATCACAGTCAATTAATTGAAATACATTCCTAAAATCAGTTTAGAATCAATCAATGGCAACCATTGGGCTAGAGTCTATGAAGATTACAGAAGGAGAGAGGGGTCAGACTGTGCCTTGGCCAAAGGCCTGGTGGAACAGCTGTGACTTGCAGGCCCTGCGGAAAGATGTCAGGTCCTGCAGGGCCCTAGTCTTTTGTGACAGAGCGTTCCACCAGAAGCCATGGCCAAAGAAGCCCTGATTCTGGTTGAGGCCAGCCTAACCTCCCTGTGGCCCAGGATCTCCAAGATATTTTTATTTGAAGACCGTAAGGTCCTCTGTGAACATACCAGGAGAGGCGTCCCATAGGTACAAGGGTCCTAGGCCATATAGGGCTTTAAAGGTTAAAACCAGCACCTTAAACCTGATCCTGTACTCCACCGGGAGCCAGTGCAGCTGGTATAGCACCGGGTGAATATGATCCCGTGGCGAGGACTCCGTAAGGAGTCTCGCCGCCGGCATTCTGCACTCGCTGGAGTTTCTGGGTCAGTCTCAAGGGCAGCCCCATGTAGAGTGAGTTACAACACACATACGTAGGAGAGGACTGAAATTTGGGGCAGGGATTGCATGAATTATTCAGAGAAGACGAACACAGAAAGGTTTAGCATCAAATATGTGGCTTGACTTTGGATTCTGAAAATCTTCAAAACCTCTTCACTCCCCAGAGCCTCCCCAATAATGCAGGATACCGGTGCAGGGAAGAGTGTTCTTGCGTTCATGTGCTACTTGTGGGTTCTGATTGGCCACTGTGAGAACAGGGTGCTGGACTAGATAGGCCATTGCCTTGCCTTACTTCCTCATGTGTTTAACAGTGACTCCCCATCACTTTGGCATACAAAGCTGGCCCAGGCATTAGGCAGGTGAGGCTGCTGCCTCAGGCACCCCTAAACACATCCTTCCTGCCCTGCCACTTCCAGCACCGATTTTGGGAAAGATTGTATCCATTTTGGCACGACCTTGCCTGAAATTGATGACAGCAGCGCTCCTCCAACAGCGGATTGGCCTACAGGAAAATCCCAGAATTAGCCAATCACGTGGGGCCCATTGTGTAAATAATGTATATAAAGCAGACATTCCGAGGGAACTTCCATCCTCCTCACCACTATGAGCTGAATAAAGAGCATGAAATCCACTCTCGACTCTGAGTATATTTCACCTATAGTGCCTCCCCTGGACACATCACATACCATGTGTTGCCATCTATTTATATTCCCCAAGTGCAAAAAGTCAGTACAAATTCTGCCGCTTTTCCACTCTGCCGCTTTTCTGCCAATCATAGTAGTACCATTTTTCTTTACAGAGTTGTTGTACATTTTTTTGGCAGAAGTTCTTAAAACCTGCCCATGGCGGGGGATCTTTATAGCAATTGCCTTTTTTTCCCTTCCTTCCTTTCCTTCCTTCCTTCCTTCCTTTTTTTTTTTTGGGGGGGGGGCATTCTTTTAAGAGGAAGCAGGTGTTAAACCGTGGCTTCAAGAGACAAAAGTTCAAAAAAAAAAGTGATGTTAAGCATCATTCCCAGCCACTTGCTCCCTAAAATTTTCCTGCCTCACTTTGCAGTTGTTTTATCACCCAAAACAGTTCTGTGCTTCTGAACATTTAGTGCAAAATGCACATAAAAATGTATGCATTTGTGAAAATATACAAAAATGTGCTCTTTGATGAAAAAATGTTTTGCAAAATGGAACTATTGGGGAAAATTGCATACACACACACACACACACACACATATGCAAATAGATGTGCAAATGTGGATAATTGAACTTAAGACTGGAAAACTGAAATAGCGAAAGAAGCTAAAATCGGCAGATCCGCCTATATCTATGTTCAAATGATAAGCATCAACATCATTTAATTATGCGGTTCTGATCACATGATAATGATCAAGTGATGCCTTGCATGTGTGAAAGGGCCATTACAGTTCCGACAGACAAGACATTCATTTTCATTCACATCATGCTTCTCAATTTAGCTGCAAATCATCCCATACGGAGCAATCAAGGATAGAGAAATCAAGTGATACACATGTATGTATGAGCCTGGCCTTAAGTGGGGAGAGGGATCTCTCCACTGTTGAAATTAATGGATTTCACCCAACATTAGTCATTGAGTATGTCCATTTGAAGTAATGGGGATGCCTAACTTAAATCCACTATATATCTATATCTATATATATCTAGATAGATGATAGATAGATAGATAGATAGATAGATAGATAGATAGATAGATAGATAGATGATAGATAGATGATAGATAGATAGATAGATAGATAGATAGATAGACTATATATATATATATATATATATATATGCAGGTTTTGGTGTCCTCGGGTGTCTTCCCGTGTAAAAGTTGGGGTGTCTAGGCGACGTTTCGACGAGGTCTCACTCGTCATCTTCAATATATATATGCTTTCGTAGATTTTCACGGGTACAGGAATGCAGGTTTTGGTGTCCTCGGGTGTCTTCCCGTGTAAAAGTTGGGGTGTCTAGGCGACGTTTCGACGAGTGAGACCTGAAGATGACGAGTGAGACCTCGTCGAAACGTCGCCTAGACACCCCAACTTTTACACGGGAAGACACCCGAGGACACCAAAACCTGCATATATATATATATATATATATATATATATATATATTTGCTTTCGTAGATTTTCACGGGTACAGGAATGCAGGTTTTGGTGTCCTCGGGTGTCTTCCCGTGTAAAAGTTGGGGTGTCTAGGCGACGTTTCGACGAGGTCTCACTCGTCATCTTCAGGCTGGTGCTTTCGGCTTCTTGTTACTGGAACAGAGCAGGATCTCAGTGTTTGAGTTCCTATAAATACTGTTGAGGGGGTGTGGTGTATAGATACACCACACCCCCTCAACAGTATTTATAGGAACTCAAACACTGAGATCCTGCTCTGTTCCAGTAACAAGAAGCCGAAAGCACCAGCCTGAAGATGACGAGTGAGACCTCGTCGAAACGTCGCCTAGACACCCCAACTTTTACACGGGAAGACACCCGAGGACACCAAAACCTGCATATATATATATATATATATATTTCCCAGTAGCACCTTAGGGACCTAATAAGTTTGTTCTGGGTATGAGCTTTCGTGTGCATGCACACGAAAGCTTATACCCAGAACAAATTTAGTTGGTCTCTTAAGGTGCTGCTGGACATTTTTTTGGTGCTGCTGGACAAATTTAGTTGGTCTCTTAAGGTGCTGCTGGACATTATATATTTCGACTGCGTCAGACCAACCCAGATGCCTACCTGAATTAAGTCCATTAATTCAAGAAGTCTATTCTGAGCAGAATTTATTTGGATGCAACCCAATGGTGATAATTACTCAACCTTTTTTTCCTAGATTGTTGTGCATTACAGATTCTTCTGTGTAATTGTAGAATCTGTCCATTGCAATACATAAATCAAAACCCACATTATTTGAGACCAGAAGTTTACTCTGTTAATGGTGCCTAAATTCCACATTCTCTCCAGTACACTGAACGGTGTGTGTTTTAAAAGCCCTATAGCGTGATGATATTACAGCTTGTAAGTTAAATATGATTACACTACTGGACCACCCAGTGCTTTGGTTATTTTTAAATCAGCCCTTGCGGAATGTATTTTTAAGTGAGAAATTTAATTTGGGTGTCCTTCCTTTGCAGAAAGTCATTCCCTTCACAACATGCCACCCTGGCAGCATTTGCAGCTGTGTACATTTCGGTGAGTAATTAAGCTTCTTTGCAATAACGTGGACAAAAGGGTAAAGTCAGAATGTCATTTCATGTCTTGTTTAAAGCAGGAAGGTTGAGACTGCAGATGACAAGTGTCCCCCCACAAAAGAAGCAGGGGAAAAAACTTTTTCTCTGCTCCCCCATTTATTTATTTAGGGAGGCCTGAAATAGAAAAATCGGAAATCAGGGCTGAAATTAGCGGGTAAAATTTTATGAAATTGATTTTTTATTTCAGAATAAGTCAAGTACTTCTTAAAATGCCACCAATTCACATTAATGCAGATCAGATGCCCCCAATCCCCGCATCAAATGAATGAAACTGGAAAGAGTTGAGAAGTTTGTATTAATTTCTACAAACTTTCCATGTTCTGAAGCCCATGGAGTTCAAAGCGAAAGCTCAGGATGAGAAGCTATGGACCTTTCAGGCACATTACTAGCTCATTAAGGAAACAAGAAAGCAAACCACCCCACCTGGGAGATTTAACTAATTGCTTTTTTAAATGTTTTGTTTTGTTTTAAAGATGTACTTCAATTCCACGTTAACCGACTCCTCTAAACTTCTGAAACCACTCCTAGTATTTGCATTTATCATCTGTGGGATTATATGTGGACTGACTCGCATCACCCAGTACAAAAACCATCCAGTTGATGTTTACTGTGGCTTTTTAATTGGAGGTGGAATTGCCCTGTACTTGGTAAGTAGACTGGAAGTGCGCAGAGATGCCTGCGTTTTGGTAGCTAAATGCCCTACAAATAAGATATATTTTGTTTCACTTTTATTTGTAGTAGATTCTGTTCTGCACGATACTGTAGAACGGAGGTTTTCAACCTTTTTGAGTCCATGGCTCCCTTCTTTTTTGCAGCTGTGGGGCATTGTGCTCTAAGCCTTAGAATCCCAGTTATGTCACCCTTGCTAGTGTGGTGTAATGGTTAAGGGCGGTGGACTCAAAATCTAGTGAACCGGGTTCGCGTCTCCGCTCCTCTACATGCAGCTGCTGGGTGACCTTGGACTAGTCACACTTCTCTGAAGTCTCTCAGCCCCACTCACCTCACAGAGTGTTTGTTGTGGGGGAGGAAGGGAAAAGGAGATAGCTGCTTTGAGACTCCTTAGGGTAGTGATAAAGTGGGATATCAAATCCAAACTCCTCCTCCTCCTCCTCCTCCTCTTCTTCTTCTTAGTTGAAACTAAGTTGAAACCAATCTAACCTCCTTGAGGCTCGGGACCTCCAAAGTGTTGTTATTTGTGGACCTTAAGGTCCTCCGCAGGGCATACCAGGAGAGGCGGTATGAAGGCACCAAGTTGGGGAAAGTCAGCCTAAAATCACCACCCAGCACACATTGCCTGAACACTGAAACCATTAAAATGGATAAGGCCAGCTGTAGCAGCCCTATATCATTTATAAAGCCCATTTGGAGTACACGTATGATGAACTTGGTGTTCTTCAAACTTGAGACTTGTTTTTGTCCTTAGAGAGTGCAATGCATTTTCTTTTTAATGGACCACTGAATGTGTAAATAGAGTGAAGCTCAAGCTCCTGCTGAGGTTCTGCACAAATTGATTTGAAACTGATGAATTTGTCTCTCGCCAAGATATTGCATTACATGGCTATTAAGCAACAGAAAGGGCATAACCTTTGAGCAGAAAACTAATCAGGTGGAGGCCACGATCTGTAAATCAGGCTGGTGTGACTGTAAAATTGAGTGTGAGGGACAGGCGTTATCCCAAAGCTGAAAATGAATATGAAATAGCAGTATTTACATTAAGAAAAATAATCTTTTGAGAATTCTTTGAAATTTATGTTCAGCAACGTTGATAACTTGCCTCGGATTGATTTTTGTCCTAACTCATTTACTGGTGAATTATGATGAGAAATCATCACCTTATCACAAACTTAAATGGTAAATGATAGCATTTCTAGTAGGTTATTGCTTTTATTGCCATTCTTTCTCATTTTAAGCCACATTGTTTAGTAAATGATGCACTCAAAATGGTTTTTGATTTGGAGGTAAGCTCTGTTGAAACATCAATGGATGCTTCCCACAGTGGTCGAGATCCAGAGGACTGTTTGGCTTAACCCAAGCACCCAGCAAGGGCTTTGAAAAGCCGATGTTTCTTGCCCAGAAGTAGCCCATCTGGCACGCAACTTTTGAAATTTAAATTGTGGGATGTTTCAAAACAATTGGTGAAGCCTGTTGTTTGGAGCAAGGCGGGGAACATAATCCCACTGGGCATGCTCAAGATATTAAAATATGTCAAGGTGACATTTCCAGAAATGTCCTGCAATTTGCTGGCCTGTCTGTGTTGGTCTCTCAAGACATATTAGAACCAAGACTTCATAAAGTGGATTCTCATTCTAACTCAGTCACTGAATGTCAATAACGTCCAAACATTTATTTTTCATAATGGGATCCTGTGTTTTGTTTTCTTCTCCCAACGCCAGGGCCTGTATGCTGTGGGGAACTTCCTGCCGAGCGAAGACAATATGTTCAACCAGAACCCACACAGAGAACCGTTAAGGTCTTTGACTGACCTGAGCCAAGATCCCAGTCGAATTTTACCCGGGAAAAACGGAAGCGGCAACGACGTCATCCCCCCTCACCACGCCGAGAGTATGTTAAACAGGAACCACAGGGACACGGGCTCCCTGACCAACCTCAAAAGGGCAAATGCTGACGTAGAAATTATAACGCCGCGAAGTCCAATGGGGAAGGAGAACATGGTGACTTTCAGCAACACACTGCCGAGAGCCAACACGCCTGCGATGGAAGAGTCGGCTCGTCGGAACGCAACCATCCATGCATCTATGGATTCTGCCCGCTCCAAACAGCTTCTGTCCCAGTGGAAGAACAAGAATGAAAGCCGGAAGTTGTCCCTGCAGGTGATCGAGATGGATTCTGGGCAGTCACCACCTCGAGCAATTGAAATGAGGTCTAGCTCTGAGCCATCCAGGGTTGGCGTTAATGGCGATCACCATGGGCCTCCCAGTCAGTATCTGAAAATCCAGCCCGGCAGCATGCCAGGCTGCAATAGCGTTGGCCTTTCTGGTGGGCCAAGAGTTTCTATTCAATCCCGGCCCGGTTCTTCACAGCTTGTCCACATCCCCGAAGAGACGCAGGAGAATGTGAACACGTCTCCCAAAACGAGCTCCGCCCGAGCTAAGTGGCTGAAGGCCGCCGAGAAGACTGTCGGGTGCAGAAGCAACAGCCAGCCAAGGATCATGCAGGTCATCGCCATGTCAAAGCAGCAAGGCGTCCTTCAGGGCAGCCCAAAAAGCTCCGACGGCAGCACTGTCACCTGCACGGGCTCCATCCGATACAAAACCTTGACGGATCACGAGCCGAGCAGCATCGTGCGAGTCGAAGCCCACCCCGAAAACAACAGGCCCATCATTCAGATGCCATCGGAAGGCGAAGGAAGCGGCTCCTGGAAATGGAAAGCTCCCGAGAAAGGAAGCCTTCGCCAGACGTACGAGCTCAATGATCTCAACAGAGACTCGGAGAGCTGCGAATCTTTGAAGGACAGTTATGGATCCGGGGACAGAAAAAGAAGCAACATCGACAACAGTGAGCACCACCATCACGGGATGACGACGATCAGGGTCACGCCAGTAGAAGGCAGCGAGATTGGCTCAGAGACCCTGTCTGTTTCCTCCAGCCGTGATTCTACGCTTCGAAGGAAAGGTAATATCATTTTGATTCCTGAAAGAGGAAGCAGCCCGGAGAATACCAGGAACATCTTCTACAAGGGAACATCCCCCACAAGAGCTTACAAAGAATGAGGCTTGGTGCTTCCGCCCAGCCATGCCACTGACAATCGACACCGTTTGGTACTAGCTTTGTGCTCTCTCTACTTTTGAGCTGATGCCGAAATATTCTTGATGTGCCAAAATATCGACCATCAGCCTGACCATTTTTGGATGTTGCTGATGTGTAGTGATTGTGCATGAATTTGTGGGTTTCATGTTGCAGTGGAGGGGGAGGGGGAAGCACAAATGCGAGAACCTATCGAACGGGATGTTTCCTAACAGGTTTTTCTTTCCCCCAGACTCAAAATGTTTTTCCAATGGGAACAATGTCAACAAAAACAGCAATCTTAAATACAGACACCTTATTTCCTGAATGTGCCAACTTTTTGATTTATATATGTCTAAGGACAATGGGCAAAAGGTGTACTATCAGTGTTGTACTTCACCTTTGCGGGTTTTGCACCAAAATTTAATACAAGTCGGTGCTGATTCTAACTTTACTTTTACTTTTACTTTTTTAGTAAACTTACATACCTGTTCATTGCTACAGACACATGACGTTTTGATGTGTAATTCCTTTCCAAGTGATATTGCTGAAAATATGATGCTGGCTGCATTCATTTAGAGTAGAAAAATATTGACAGCTTTGTTATAGTGGGTATTTCACATTAAAAGATTGCAAAGGTTTTGTGTAGTTCTTTGAAATGTTTACTGGAACAAAACAAAAAAAACAATGTGAATGATACTCCATGAAAATGGAAACATTTTCTCTTCTGGTTAATTTTTCTGTTTCTTTTCAAAATTTGTTTAGTTTCAGGTGCTACAAAGAGGTCACTTCTCAGTGAACTAATCTGGGAGTAGTTGAAATAGCATGGGATTTTTTAAAAACAAACAAACAGGGATCTCTTAGAGCACTGATTAACACGTCATTTTTAACAGTTTCTCAATTTGTCTCATTGCTTATCTTTCCTAATTTTTATTCATTATTGACTATCTAGTGCTTCACTCTGATAATTGCTACTATGTTGTAAAGATGGGTGGGAATTATAATTCAGGCTTCCGAATCAATTAGCTGGATTGGCCATAGGTATCGGGCCTCCTAGACAAGATTTGGGCCTGTTTGTAACCTCCTCCAGAACCTGAGCCACATTCTCTGCCTTCGGAGATGACCTGAACTTAATTAAGAATGCCAAGCAATCCTAAAGCGCTTACCTTAACTTCCTTTTAGCTAGTAAAACCGTCATGGGGTTGACCTGAAACAGCATCAGTGAAATTACTGGGTGTTTAAGTTGCGAGGTCCTATCCCAGATGGGTTTTTGCCATCATAAAGACTCAAAGTAAGGCGACCTTAAGCAGGTACAGTATTTTATCCTGTATCCCTGCACCACTGTGGCAGTTTAGCCTTCCTCTGAGTTATTTAAGATCCCATAAGGCAAACCTGATGAGGGTAGTGTCAGGGAACGAGACATCTGGTAATTTCTCTGGGCATAATACCATAGACAAAAGTCCCAATCCAATGGATGGGCTAACCCTGTCATTTGTGGGAAACTGCTGATGAAACACGTATTTGAGCTCACTCCAAGACGTTGTTCCATCACTTGTTTGGCTTGGCACATAATGCCCATTAAGCTACTCCTAGAATGTTCATTTGGGTTGTCGTTTTTTTGAGATTTGGAATGGCCCGCAACAGCCAAATTAATACACAAGTGCTGTATTGTACCACAGATTAGATTCAGTGGATATTCTCATTAAACATACTTTTCAGTTAGGGATTTGAAAAGCCTTTCCTTGCTGTGAACTCATCCTGAGGAAATGTGATGATGCCGAGATTATTTTCTAAGGAGAAAATTGACTTGTTTGGAATTGGGATGACAATCGCAGCCTGCTTGGCTGGTGATCAGGGATGATGGCAGTTGTAAACTGAAGTCATACAGAATGTAGCTAATGGAGATATCTAGGGATAGACAAACCACACTATTTTTTATCTGAGACATATATTTTTTTCACTCCGTCCCTTCCATGTTTCTGCATTAGTTTGCTATTTTATAAAAATCTGATATGAAAATTCACATTTAAATGTGACTTTTAAAACCTATTTCTCTCAAAATATGATTTTTTAAAAGAAAAGATACAAATGTTAAAGTGTATTTTAAAACACATTTTTAAACATACGGTGTTTTGATACTTTCAGTTTTGCCAAGAACTGCATCAGAATATTCAAGAAGTGCAAAATTTGTAGTGAAACAAAATTCCAATCTCCACATTAATCTGGAGACATGGATAAGATCAATTCATATCAGAAATTCGCAAAGATTAAATTCTGTGAATGCCTCTTGCAGTAGTCAGCTAGAAATGTTGAAAATCACAGGAGCATCTACCATTTGGAAAACCTGCAGACCTATCCAGAATCCAATGACCGCAAAATACTTGGAGTTGTACCCAACTAAGTCCTGCTCAGAGTGGATTGATTGAAAATAATGGACCTAAATTAGTTGTGTCCATTATTTTCAGTGAGTCTATTCCAAGCAAAACTAGCACTGGATACAACCTTTGGATGCTAATGATTTTCCTCCTCCTTACTTTTTTATTTTGTTTAAAATATTTGTAGGCCGCCTTTCTGAGTAAAACCCACTCAGTGCTATAAAATAGCAGACAAAAATACAGTGGGTATAAAGATACAAAGTTAATCTAATTATGCAATCACATACATGTGCTCTTGGAAGTACAAACTTCACTGGGTTCAGTGGGACTTATTCCCAGGTATCTGTGTATAGGATTGCAGCTGTTTCCCTTGCCAAGGAGCCCAGTGGCATTTTCCCCTCACCACAGCTGTGAAGTAAATTAGACGGAGATATCAATTTGCCCAAGATCACCCAGTTTCACAGCTGAGCTATTCATTCACACCTTGCCCCCCTCGAAAGCTAGTCTCTGGGGTCCTAAAACAGAGGTCATTCCCAGTTTTCCTACCCGAGAGCCTTTCACACTAGCCCGGACAGTGACAGAACTGAGGTTTCATACCTGCAAAACGCGCTCTCCTGCGCTATCTTCAGATAATGGTTCGAAAACCCCATGTCGGTCCCATGCAACAGTATTTAGCAGGCAATGACTTGTGCAGAAACAAAAGCCCCATGTGCAGTGACTTCAGAGAGCAGGTTGGGTTTAGCATTTCTCATCTGGATTTGATTCAAAGGCACCATTAACCTTCATGCCATTTTGCACCAATGAGTGCGCCACGCTGAGAACTGGGGTGGATATCCAGTTGTATCTCCACATCCCATTTCAACAGACCCTGTGTCAGTTGCCATCCATGCAAATTCCCAATCCAGCTCAGGAACCAAGCCTGCCGCCCTGATCGCTGGATGCAGGCATCCGGCCAGCAGATTTTCATATCCAGCACTTTCTTGCACCCAAAGATCCCAACGTTTTTAGAAAATCTGCATACAGATCTACCTAGCTGGGTTGGGGGTGACTGTTTTCCATACACAGTATTTATAAGCATTTTTTAAAAACTATAAAACAACCCAAGCAGATCTGCTTGGTATTGACCTTTCCCTCCCACTTTTTTTTACAAAAAATATTGCAAACACTTGGCTTGATGAGGATTGTAGTTTAGTTTAGATACACCAAGTAGGGAAGACCTTGAAACGAAGAGGTAGGACGCAATCAAGGCTGACCTAGAAATATAGTGAGAGAACACAGAGTTGTTAATAACTTGATAATCTAAGAAGGGGAAATGACAATTTAAGCAACTGCAATAATACAAGGACTAAAAAAATAGCCCTTCTAGGAAAGCAGCTTATTCTGTCAACAGTAGGTAGAGTGGAGTGAGCTTTAGTGGGAGCAATGGTTTGTAGTTTGCTTTGTTTTAGTTAGTTTACCATAGATAAAGGCATCACAAGTTGCTTTTAAGTCTCTGAAATTCACTGCATCCTTTCAAGTGCAGTGTGCTATTTTTCCTACCTAAACTTTTCCTACTTAATAGCAGACAATTTTAAAAGCACTTGCAGAATCATTGTAATTGCATTCTTTACTTAAAATATTGAAAATACTCTTTTTTTACTCGGAAGTGCCAAAGGCTACTCTTTTTAATACTGGCTTCTCAGAAACATAATTACATTAAAGAACAAAATAACAATAAGATATACATTGGAACTCTTGACTCCGGCATGTATATCATTTATGGAGCCTTTTATAAAATTAACCTTTGTTTACATTCCACTGATACCTTAATTTCAAACAAATCAGATAAATTGACAGGTGGCATCTTCTAGTTTTTTCTTACTCGCTAAAACGGGCACCAATTTCTTTGTTAGGCTGTGCTTTACTAAGAAAAACAAATAAATTGGGTAAAATACAAGATATGTTTTTAAACGAGAATTCTATATAAAGTATTGTGTTCTAATAAAATGTTATGCACTGTTTTAAAATGAAAACAAAAAAAACTATTTGTAAATTGCTATAAATGTATTTTGTTAAATAATTACAGAATCAATGCTACTGTGTGAGTTTATTGTGCTAATATCATTAAAATAAATATGAAATTCCTCATTGAAGCAGAGGTATCTCGTCTATGTCCCACAAGAGTTACAGTTGTCAATTTGTCCTCTGGTTGGTTCTGTGTAACAGAATATGCATGTACATTTCTGAAGATTAAGGGTGTGACTCTATGGTCTCTGGGAGGGCATCTCAAGGGCTATAGAATGCTATGGACCATGCTGTCTTTGGATGGAGGAGGTGATCCACAGTGGAGGTCTTCCCTTGGCCAGCATTGGATAACTCTGCCTGCAGATCTGGGAGGGGGGCCTCTGAGCTTCATTCCTTAGTCACCCCCCCCCCCAGAACAGGAAAATTAATTGCATAAAGAAGTATTTGCAGGCATTAATCAACAAAGTGTATGCTACTCCCATTTGTTCAGGATTCAAGGCCAGCTGTAGACCAAGGTCCCAATGGTGAGAAGCCAGATTGTGCTATAATGATTAAACAACAAAACTATACAGAGCTATTCATGCACAATTCATGAGCTGAGAACATTTCAAAGCATTAACAAAGATTCACATGCTGAACAAGGTCAGGGGGGACAGCCCTGTTCATGTGTTGCAGCAAAAGCAACCAAGATCTTGTAGGTCTTTCAAGACTCACAAATTTATTATGGCACAAGCTTTGAAGGGACACAGTCTGCTTCATCAGTTTCCTGAGTTAAATCAGGTACACGGGCAAGTGGGGATTAATTTTTTTAAAGCAATATGGAGAAATGAAGCCATGGCATCAAAAATATAAAGAAATAAAGTGATACAGAGGGGGGAAGGGGGAAGTGAGGCGGGGGAGAACAAAAATGTGTGTAAGAAAAATATAGATACAAAAATGCAATGTAGAATTGAAATTCTTTCAATCAAATATTAATATTAAGGAGCAGTTTCCTAAGTGTCAACATTTTTCTGGGTACAAAAACAAATATAAACAGGAGAATTGCAGACTCTCTAACGAGTGGTGCTTAAAGGTCTTCAACATAACACCTCTGTGTTCTTGGATATTTGTGAATAATTGCCATCAATTTAAAGCATTCCTGGGTTCGAATGCCATGTGTCGGATCTTGTATCTTGAGAAGGACCCTTTCCTAATGCTCTTTTGCTACGTGTTGTGCTTGGCAACACAAAATCTAAAATAGGCACAGAAAATACCAGGGGTTG